GTGGCTGTGGACAGTCCACGGTCCCAGGTCCCCGTATCACGTGGTGGCTGTGGACAGTCCACGGTCCCAGGTCCCCATATCACGTGTTGGCTGTGGACAGTCCCCAGTCCCAGGTCCCCATATCACGTGTTGGCTGTGGACAGTCCCCAGTCCCAGGTCCCCATATCACGTGGCTGTGGACAGTCCACGGTCCCAGGTCCCCACCTCACAAGACCGCGGACAGTCCACGGTCCCCGCCTCACGTAACTGTGGGCAGTCCACGTTCCCAGGGCCCCACTGTGGGCAGCCCATGGTCTCAGGTCCCCGCCTCATTGGGACCGCGGACAGTCCACGGTCCCCGCCTCACGTGATCGTGGATAGTCCACGGTTCCAGGTGCCCACCTCACGTGGTCGCAGGCAGTCCACGGTCACCGCACCCCGCCTCGCGTGATCATGGACTGTCCATGGTCCCCACGCCCTGTCTTAACGCGCCCCAGGTCCCCACCTCACGCGCCCCCCCTACTCCGCGTATCACCGGTCCCGCCTCAGAGCCCTCGGACCTGGTCCCCGCCTCTTGCGCCTCTGGGCACTCCCTGCGCTCTCGGTTCGGGTCCTCGCCTCTGGTACTCTCAGCCTCCACTCAGCTCCAGCAAACGCAAAGAAAGGGATGAAGGATGAAGCTGAGGAGGCGCCAGCCCCGCCCGACGACCTCCGACCTCGCACGCCGGCACCACTACGGGTCGCGCCAGTCGCCAAGATAATGCGCTCGAAAGCGACGCTGGGCTCGAGGAGAGGGCGGAGCCTAGGAGGGGCGCGGCGCCTGTCAGCCTAAGATACAGCACTGTGGGGCCGGGAGCGAATAGCAGTAGCCGAAACGCTGCTGGGAAGCTCACCAGGACTCTAGCAGGGGCGGAGCTTAGAGGCTTGGAAGAGGGCGGGGCCCGAAGGGAGTGGACTCTGGGTGGGGCAAAGGCGTGGGGCGGAGTTTGAGCTGGTGGAGGACCGCGGAGGGCGGTCGGGGGCTGGGCGAGGGCAACGAGAAGGCGGGGTCTAGGCCTGTGGGCGTGGTCTTGTCTGGGGGGGGGGTCCTG